AGCCCTATGAATCAGAAGAAAGCTGACAAAGTGAACCTTTTTGGTCACTGTTCTTCAACACTGTTTCCATAGAAAGCTTCCGCGAAATAAAGGTCGAACGGCGAGACACGACAATCGCCGTGGCAGATGAAGATACACAGGAGGGAGTATGTTAGGACTTCCAAATCCTTTTGGTTCACAAGCAAGTTGACAAAATCCAAATTTTCTGTTCAGTATTACTCAAATACTGTTCCCAAACACGGATTATAGAAAAAATGCTCTAGCGATGAAACACGATAAGCATGCCGTGACCTTGAGATGCGCACCAAAATCTCGTCTCCAACAGCTCCATCAACAGTGATGCAGCTTCCAAGGTAGACAAAATTCTCCATAACCTGCAGTCACACCACCAGGAGTGAGTACAGATACAGCGATCTAAAAGTACTGAAAAAGAGCTTCGCACTTGAATGGGGAAAATGCCACCCCACACTTTGACGCTTCGATCGCCAAGCGGTTAATTGCAAGTTGGACGGCCTGTGGACCGTCACCCAGCAAGACGAGATCATCAGCGTAGTGCAAGTCAATAACTTGGCTACCTGGAAGGAGCTCTAAGCTAGCGTTCAACAAGTCTTCTAGAGCATTTTTAGGACATCCTCACAGGCGTAATTGAAGAGGAATGGGGAGATTGGGCATCCTTGTCGAACTCCACTGGTGATAGCGAGGGAAGACGAAAGCTTATGATAAGCCCTAACTCTACACAGGTCAGACTGTACATAGCATGCAGTGCGAGAACAAGCTTCCCAGGGACGCCATTTTTTAGCAGACAATGCAGTCCTGTCGACAGAATGGAAGACAGTACGTATATCCAGGAAGACAACGCTCATTGGCTTTCGGTACTTATACTGGAGCTCGAGGATCTGACGGAGTGTGAAAATTTGATCGATGCAGCCGCGGCCATAGCGGAACCCAGCCTGTACTACCTGCGAATTGGGGATAGCCTTCGAAGTATGCTGGGCACCAAAACTTTGCAAACGACCAGAACCAAGCTAATAGCCCTGTAGTTGGAGCACATTGTGCACAGACCCTTTTTGAAGATGGGGACGACTATAGACTCACTCCGGGATGATTGAATTTCCTATTCCAACCAGACTTCTGAGAACAAAGCAATGAGTTCTCAAATCAGCGAAGGGCCATAATTTTTAAATACAGTGGGAGGTAAGCCATCAGAGCCAGGTGCTTTAGGTCGCTGCAAAAAGGCCTTAGATTGACTTCGACGGGGAGTGTATATCAAAAGGACTCCTGCTTAGGTACAAGAGAAAGCACCGTTAAATACAGAAGAGAGACAACAGGTACGGAAACGACAGGCACCGGTGTAGTCTAGCCCATGGAGGTCAAGCGCGTGGTGCTGTAGCACATGTGGTCGCTAGTTCTTCAGTCAAGCCGGTCTAGTAAGCCACCAGCGTGACCACGCGGGTCCAACCTCAACAAAGCGTAGAGTCAGTTGCATATGTAAGCATCCTTAGTGCAGCGCTTGGTAAGTTCGCTGCTTCCGATCCCATATGCTAACCGAAACTTACCATGTAGTCGGTGTGGAACGTGTGCTGCATGATCGCTGCCTTTGGTCCGTACGTGTGCCTGCGTGTTGATTTTCTTGAATTTTATGTGTTGATTGTTGATTTATATCCCCGGTGTGGTTAACCTTCATGTGGATGTTGACAAGGCGCCTACATGTCAAAAAACTGGTACATCGATTATACGGGCTCCAGGTAACAGTTGGTCGTTCCTTAGGGAGATAGGGTGCGCGGTCCACGTGACTATGCTAAACCCAAAGAATGATTCCATCCAGTGCGGAGTGGACTGCGGCCCAGCCAACGCCTTGCGTACTTCTGATCCGCATGACTTCCCACATAGACAAGAATGTTGCTGCTGTGCTCCGTTGATGAAACGTGGCTCGCATTTACATGCCTCTAGGTTCTGTAACATCGGGTTTTACACTAGATTTATGGTGTGTGGGTGGTACATCGCAAGCCACTCTTGGTCTCTGTAGGCGTAGGCATCCTGTTACAGTCTTGAGGGAGCTGCATTGACAAGCGTATCCGGAATCAAAGTCAATAGCGGACATATGTTTTCGATAATTATTCATCAGGCTAGTACAATTATATACCATTTACATCGATTAGACAGACTATTGAGTCGTTAAAACGGGGTAAAATCAGTTTACAAGAGGTCGCCAATAATCAGTCTTCACATGATCCAACTGAGTAAAAATCGCTACTCGATTGGGCCAGGACAGTTGTAAGGCCTAAAAAAATCGCTTCTGAGTGCATCACTTTGGTTCGTACAACCAGATTGCTATAGCTTCATCGGCTTCTAGTATCCGTCTGAGCATATACCTCGATCGATTGTCCGGGGCCTTGTAGATAATTTGGAGTGCTTTGGCTGACCTAGGGTTGTGGCCTGTGTCGGCAAGGTGGGCAGCTATGGCTGAGTTACATACCCTCCTGCATCCTGTCGCTAGCCGGACGGTGTTCTTTCATTCTCTCGAATAGACAACTAGTCGTGCGACCAATGTATCCTGAACCACAGGAACAGGTAAATGAATAAATTCACTGAGTTGTCGTGGACAGGTCAACTATCCTTGAGACTAAGCTTCACCATCAGTGTGCTGGTAAAGTAGGTATGTGTTTTTGCTGTGATAGACGGCGAGTAAGAATTACGGCAGCGATTTCTCCTTTGCAAGGGAGTTGTAAGAAAATCGCTTTTCTGTTAGCTGTTAAAACAACCGGTATGTTCATGCTAATCTCCATGTGGACCATGTGGATAACCATTTTCCCGCAGCTACCAGCCTATTCGCTGTAGTTCATCTGGAAGTGTATCATGCGAGCTGATTCTTCTCTACTGACCGTATATTGAAAAAGGTCGTGGAACGACCAATACACCAACTTCAACAGCTTCGTGCCACTGAGGGTGAAACGGAATTTAGTTCATAATCTGGTCAGTAGAGCAGAAAGAATCAGCTCGCATGATCCACTTCCAGATGAACTACAGCGAATAGGCTCGTTGCTGCGGGAAAATGGTTATCCACATGGTCCACATGGAGATTAGCATGAACATACCGGTTGTTTTAACAGCTAACAGAAAAGCGATTTTCTTACAACTCCCTTGCAAAGGAGAAATCTGGTTGTACGAACCAAAGTGATGCACTCAGAAGCGATTTTTTTAGGCCTTACAATTGTCCTGGCCCAATCAAGTAGTGATTTTTACTCAGTTGGATCATGTGAAGACTTCGAGATTGACCTGATTATTGGCGACCTCTTGTAAACAGATTTTACCCCGTTTTAACGACTCAATAGTCTGTCTAATCGATGTAATTGGTATATAATTGTACTAGCCTGATGAAGAATTATCGAAAACATATGTTCACTAAGACTGACTTTTGATGGCCGGACTCAGACGCAGCCCAATATATATATAAATATATATATATATATATATATATATATATATATATTCACACTCTGGTTACAGTGTGCCTTCAGAACCATAACGGACGAAAACACGGAAAAATCAAACATCAATAGCACGTCATCTTGCTTGTTTTACTGTCTTTTAAGGTTTTTGAATGCGATTAGACGTAGCTAAAAATGACGCTGTAGAACAACCCTGGCGCCAGTGATGGATTTTGCAGGCCATAGCGTCCAACGTTTGCAACCATTAGGAGTGTGTCGCGTTGTCCTCAGCGCGTGCGTCGGACTGGTCCAACTAATGCAATGGTTCAGGTCACCTTGTTCCTTTTTCATATCATTGGCTGTCCACCGCGGCACTTGTTCCAATCGCTCACGGGAAACAAATATTGCTCAACGGGGAAGGCGATAGTTGACAGGTGCATTACAGTGTCTAAGAATGACGTTTTGTAGGCAATGGCTGTTCACTCTAAACATTTCAGACGCAATCGTTTCACATTCTTCGAGACAATTGGTCAGCTCTCGCAACCTTACAAAAGAACCGCACAGACATCGTACACTCTGCTCTTTACCTTGGAACTGACGTCGTGACGGCGCTATAGTCGTATGTTTGATGAATACAAGGCGAACCGCTGCGAGACCTCATCTCCAACATCGCCACCAGCCGTGATGCAATCATCTAAATAAGTGGGTCAAGGAACTTGTTCCAGGACATTAGCATCAATAATGAGGGCAAACAAGTACCTGCCAATCCTGGAGTAGTCTACAGTTTACCTGGAGTGAGATACAAGCCATTCAGCGCAGCCTTAACATATACCGTGGATGCGTTTCGCAGGGTTGCAAATACCGTCCATAATCAACGCAAAACAAATTCTCAAATCGCAGTGACGTATTACTGAAGCGGTAAGGTTACACCGACATTTTTCGAATGACCGAAATTCGTTCTAAACCTACTTAGACGACCAGGTGGCCAGCCGCCAGCCCATCGGTTACTCACGCTGACTTATAGATAAGGACCGTTGGTATTAGTTGTGCATTATAATATTTGATGACATCTGTAGACATTACAGCATTACTTTTTTTTATCTTCCTCGCCCTTCTAGTGATCAAAAATGTCCAAATGGAACGGCGGCGGTCTATCTGTTCGGACAAGTTAGGTACAAAGGAGGTCAACAGTCGGCATTGTTAGCTACGGTTAGTTTATGTAGGAGGTGGGTGAACTGTTGGAGTTCGAAATCCGGTGCAATAAGTTAGTAGGGCAGAGCGTAGCTTCCAACATCCAGAGAGATGACGACTGACATTGGCCGCTTTTTGAAGGACCATTTTTCTACATTATCGCTATCCCCTTCTATAGTGTTCCACATTTTTCTCAGCATTAGTTGCCGACATCGAATGCGTTCTCTCGATATTTCCAGCTGTTAGGTGTCTGGTGTTGGTTTTGGTAACCCAATTTCTGCAGTTGATCACTCGACCGACCGAATTCTATCGGAATCTGACTGCAGCTACCCAGATTATGCACAGTGGTTCATCTGCGCCTTACGTGAATTTTTTTTAATTTGCAGCTGTCTTTCAGCGGTATGTGGAAGAGAAGTTACCTAGGAGTTGCTTACTACATACTCCGATTTTCTTTATATTTGCGAATTTTGTGTGAGATAGGCCTGGCACAGGCCGACGAAGTAAACACCATTGATTTCAAAAATGACTTTTAATTTTTAGACTCTTCTACTTCCTTCGAAAGATATTGATACTGATATTTTTCTAGATTCTTATTCCGCCTACAACCGTTACACCATCAACGAAAAGAAAGTCAACTCTACCGTCCTCATTTACGTCACACCGGTACGACAATTTCACTGCTATACTGAAGAAGCACGGTTACACAGTGGAACAAACGTGGATTTGAGATTAGCAAAACATTCGTAGCAAAATTCGACATTATTTCGCCCGTATGGTTTCAAGTACTCGAACGGAAGAAAGCTTACACTGTAACTGGGATCCCGAATATAGATACAGGTTTCCCCGTAGCATTAGTTACGAGGATTTTTTTATAGAGTGGATGACAAAGTTGAAGATATCCAACTCAGAAGCGAAAATTGTTCCCAGATTTATTTTCGAGGCTTGGAAGGCTGAGCATTTCGTGGAAACCATGAGCGAGCCAAAGAATGCAGACGCATGCATTACAAATATCGTCAGGGTTTTAAATGTGAGCACATACACAGTTTTACGCCTCTATTTTATTTCATCGTTCACTTACGTGCTAGAGTTGCGAGGAATTGTTCAATTTATACTTCAGAATGTACTTGGAACGGGGCTACATCAAGGCTACAAAGATTTTTTACCACTAAAATGCCACACGTGTTGAACGAACAACTAACAGTTGCTTCAGCACTGTTCATATAATGGGCATATTATCTGTCTCCTGTATTCGAAGCGTAATAGGACCTCTAGGTCGGCTTCGCAATTATAGAGCTTAACTGGTTATCACTTCGTCCATCATGCTTCAACTCAAACTACTCTGCTGGTTCGTATGAATGAACTTTCCCGACTAAATGAGATTTATTCGGTTGGCTGTGCCAATATTAATGATATCATCCGTGGTCCACTCGTTACGTGGTGCTTTTAATGCTATGCACTGAACACGGTATTATAGGGGCGAATAGAAACTTTAATCTGTATAATCATCGAAAAATGATCCAAAGCGTTATAACAAAAACTAACTGTGACCTGTCAATACCCATAACATTTTTCAAGTTTTCACGTGATATCATGAAAAATAACATTGAGCTCACAGTAAATTGGGACTCACAAATGTGAGATATCATTGTCGTTCTTGGAATCCAAAATTGTAGAAATTCGAATCCAATAATGTGATTGCTTCCACTTTGGGTCCTGGCAAACTGTGCCAAACACTGACCACTGACCGTTTAAAGCACAGGTGATAGGTAAACTCGCTTCAGATCAGGAACCACATGCTTGTATTGGTGTTCGCAAGTGGAGCAGTGGCCTAAGTCTGTAGTATGTGTAGATCGTTATGAAGCCTACTTGCAACTAATTATAGACCGGGGTGTATAGTTCCAGCCTCCCATACCTCATTATACGGTAATCCTCGCAAACTACAAAATGAGCGTGGTGCCAACGTGTTGGGTCCGCTTAATTTTCTGCTTTTCACCTCGTGTGGTCGGGAAATAGGTGAGCGAGCCACACTAGCATCAGTCTGATAATGGAAGAAAAAAGACGTGTGGCAACATCTTCAGACCACATGCAGAAGCTGTGTTCTAGCGCCCAGAGCATGCGCAGTCCGTTTTGGTGTGGTCTGTTCGTGTTGTCTACGCACTTCAACTCGCAACGTGAGAGTACACCTAGGTTCTCTACGCAATGTATGAGATGTCATAGTTGGCCGTCAGAGAGTGTTGGTTCCGCCGTCCCCACCCTTCCCCAGACTCAAAAATGCCGATTTGGGTAGATTGACCTGGAGGCAGATTTCTACAGACCACATGGAAGGGTGGTTGTGGTCTTGTTGAAGTAAGCCGCAGTCTTCGGATGTGCTTATCGCTCTCTGCATGTTCAGGTCGTCTGCAAACAGGGTACATGGTGACGTGAGAAACCGAGGTAGCTCGTTGATATAAGCCAGAAACAATGTAGCTTGCAGCACTGTGCCTTGAGGTGTGCCACTGGTCGTAAGATACCAGTCGCTTAGTGGTTATTGACATATATCCTCCACTTTCGTCCAACGAAGAACTCCTGGAGCAACTGGTGCAGTTAGCCGCCAACACCGCATACTCTCAGCTTGTTGAGGAGGATCTCATGCCTCGACTTGTCGAACGCTTTGTTGAAATCGATATAGCACACGTCGGCAGACTTCCCCTGGTTCACTACTTGCAACTACTCGTGCGTCTTCATGAGCAGGTTTGTGATGCATAAACGGCTTGGCATGAAATCGTGTTGTGTGAGCGACACCTTTTGACCGAAAAAGTTGTAACAAATTCTTCTTCACAATCTTCTCGACAGCGTTGACCGAAATAGATGTCAAACAAATTGGCATGTAGTTGTCTACTTTTCTGGGGGTCACTACCTTTCGAAATCGGCGTTACGACCGAAAATTTCCAATCAGTCGACAATGAACTTTCGGACAGTGACCTGTTGAACACTCAGTCACAGCAGACGCGTTGATGGCCAATAAGGACCGTAGAACCAGGGGTGGAGCCCATCAGATCAAACAAACTTGGTGCCGTAAAGGTTGGTGAGTAACTGATGCACCTCTTTCACACCGCAATCCAGGCCGTCGAGTTCGGCAAGTGTGGTGCACGCCGTACTCGATACAGACACCTGGCAATTGGCACACACGAAAGCGAAGTGCGCTGCCAATGGGAACGCACACAGTGCTGGAGGTTAGGGGCTATCCATCCGCATCCTCTATCACTGGTTGGTCACCTGTCGGCTTCAGGCGCCGCTTCACATACTCACGGATTTTCTTTGTTGTGGTCTTTGCTGCGTTGCTAGCTGTTCCTCGAAAAGCCGACACTTACTCGTTTTAGTACTGTTGCATAAATGTCATTACTTTTTGTACATCTCATAGTCGTTGACCGAACCAGAGATAAGGAATTCGTCCTACAGTCCGCGCTGCCGGCGAGCCGGGTTGTCACATTTCTTGTCGAACCAATGTCGCTTGATCGGTTTGACTTTCCGGTACTTGTGAGGTACAAACCAGTTACATAATGAGTTTACTCCGTCGTTTGTAACTGAGCAGCAAATCTCATCAGATGCAGATTGCGGTAGAGACCAATCCATTTGGCTCACGGTTCGAGCCAGGTCCCGTCGAAATCCGTTATCTAGTAGTTGTAAGCTGGCTACAATACGTGGGACTCCTACCGCGTGTTTATTCAAACTGATGCCTCATGCAGAGGTTAGTGTTGCATACATAATGCTTCTTCCTCGAAGTTGAGCTACACTGAATTACACTTGAACTAAACTGCCTTAATCTGGATAAAAAAGTATCCCACTTCCTATGGTTTGCTCAGTTGTTATTATGCTACATATTCCGTGTCAATTTTCCGTGCTTGTTTTCCCTCAGATTCTGTGTTGGTTGTTTGATATCCCCAGTGTAGCTGCGTTTCATATGAATGTTGACATGGTGCTTATCTGTCTAACAATCTCCATCTCGAATACTGGCTCCAAAAGACTGCTAGTGTTTGCGGGGGTGGACAGGATGTATGGTCCTCGTGATGATGCTAGGCTCAAAGTGCGGTTCCATCCAGGTTGGAGCGGACTGCGGCTTAGCCACCATCTTGCGTACGTCTGGTACGCATGATTCCCCACATAGTTAGACTATGAATGCTGCTGCTGTGCATGTTGAAGGAGTGTGGGCCAGCCCCGTTGACGAAGCGTGGTTCCACTTTACATGCACCCAGGTTTTATTCCTTCGGGTTTATACTGGATATTGGGTATATGGATGGAGCTGTAGATGGTAGATCGCATGCGATCCATGGTCTATCTGTAGGGGCAGTCTTACAGGGCTTAGAGTGACAGGTAAATTTTTGAACGAATGTTGCCTGCCATATCAAGTCACTATGATGGAAACAAAACTTATGCCATTAGAGACATAGTGGTAATGGAAATGAAAATTTTTGTTCAAGTGCAGAGTACCATAGAAGAAATAACTAATAAAGTGAATCCTCAGCTGTACGCCGTAACGGCGCTTCGCTGCCGCGCGTGGTCTGAGAAATAAGATTATCTTATGTCTTACACACATCGTTTTGTTTTGTTAAGCGTTTAACATAACATGAAAAGGGGATGGCAGATCAGCATTGAAGCCATTGATCTCTATTGATATCCGTTTCCGTACTGCGTGCTATGTACACTATAACGTCGGGTAGAGTTAGGGCTTATGATAAGCTTTCATCTTCCCTTGCTGTCACCATTGAAGTTCGACAAGGATACCCGATGTCCCCATTCCTCTTCAATTACGCCTGTGAGGATGTCCTAAAAATGCTCTAGAAGACTTGTTGAACGCTAGCTTAGAGCTCCTTCCAGGTAGCCGAGTTATTGACTTGCATTACGCTGGTGATATCGTCTTGCTGGGTGACGGTCCACAGGCCGTCCAACTTGCAACTAGCCGCTTGGCGATCGAAGCGTCAAAGTGTGGGGTGGCATTTTCCCCATTCAAGTGCGAAGCTCTTTTTCAGTACTTTCAGATCGCTGTGTCTGCACTCACTTCTGTTGGTGTGACACTGGAGGTTATGGAGAGTTTGTGGTGGAGCTGTTGGAGATGAGGTTTCGATGCGTATCTCAAGAGCTTGTCTCGCTTTTTCCAAGCTAAGACACTTGTGACACCGTTATGACACCTGACTATCATTGGGCGGGTTTTTTGTGCGACTATCTGTGCTGTACTGTCGTACGGTTGCGCAACTTGGCCTGTTCGTACCATTGACCTGCGCCGACTCTTTGTCGTCGGGCACCGTTGCTTGCGGTCCATCGCCCCTTTGCTTCATCACGTAAGCAATGCGAAGTTGGACAGCGCTTCTTGGAAGAGCCAACCACTCGCTCGAAGAATGTCTTTCTGTGAGGACCGAGCTCGCCCACTTGGTTAACTCCCCTGGTGTTGGGGCGTGAGAAGTGCGATAGTCACCTAAATTGACTACCTGGTGTCGACCACTCAGGCATGAGGATAGTCAACTTGGTAATGGGTTCCGGACCATCGCAATGAGGCTGGACCTTACCGTGGTGCGATGGTTTGCGTGCCTCAGAGATCCATTGAGCTATGCTGGGTGGTTTTTTTCACCTTTAGAGTCACTCATACCAGATTGGTCAGTGGATAGAGGCCAGACAAACTCAGCCTCCTGGTCCTCCAGGTTGGGGGTTGGAATGACGGTGGCTCCTTATTCCTTAAAATGGACTCGTTCTAGCCCAAAGCCAAACCCGCTGCCTTGCGGTAAGGTTTTTGTACCAAAGGCTTTGATTGAGAACCCTAATCGTTCTCCTGTCTAGGCCTGGGCAACCTGACAGTATTTTGCCCACGCAATACACTGAACCTTTCCTACAACAACTTCTTGATGCTCTGGCCGTCGCAGAGGATAATAAACGGTGCCCTATCTGCTGCATCGAGCAGGGTGGATAGGGGTATGGATGCTACTGCTCTGGCCTTCCCGTCTTCTTATACCCCTTCTTGCGCTTCTTCAACCTTATCGTCCCGCTCCAATTTTACTT